TCATTTCTTCCTAACAACCAGTGATAGGCATCCAGAGATTCACAGAACCACGGTTACACCACAATTCCCTGCTGTTGAGGTTAACCTGAAAAGTTGTTAAAAGAGGGAATTTAGGACCCTTTTAGCTCATTGCTTTATATCAAACCTTTGCTAACAGAGTTTTATAAATGTCTGATAGAGTCTAGTTAACCATTGCAGTTTTATGATTGCTGAATGGTCAACCATTAATAACTGTTTTATCTATTTGTAGTAGTTTTTTTTCCTTTTTCAAAAAAGTAAAAAAAAAAAAAAACAATTCACTGGACTTAGTTTCCAAGTTTGAAGACGTTTCGCTTCCTACCCAGAAGGCTTTTTTTCAATTCCAAATGTCTGATTAGCATTGAGTTCAAGGCTTTATAGAGAAGACATAAAAAAGTTGTTACAAAGATATTACTAAGATGTGATGAATGATTATTTTAATAGGTTTAATTGTTTCCTTAGCTATTAAAGGTAACTTCTGATAGAACAAAGCCTAACCTTTGTTCTAAATAGTATTACGCAAATAAACTTGTCTTGCCGCGCCTAACCACATTTTGGCAAGGCAACACTCTCATTGTAATGTAACATTCTTTTCTTTTTTGTTGCTCATCAAATACGTTAAAAATAAGTTCTAACTTGTCATCTTGCAGTTTTATTGATTACACAGCCTTTTTATGGAATTGTGGCTACCAAATAGTTCCAGGCACAAATCCACATTAACACAAAAAGATGCATATTCCTTTACCTATAGCTATAATCTGTCTAAACCTTGGTTATATTCATGTTACTTTTAGAACCAGATTGCAAAGAAAATTACAACAACAGTTTTAGACGTATTTATATATTTTTCTTACCGAAAGACGTAGTCATGAGCATCAATCTCCGCTCCCGTTTTTGAGCCGTTCATGATGCCTGCGGTTCCCACCACAGCACAGCGCACACAGCCATCACCGCCTGCTTTTGGGAGGAGCAGCGGTTCCTTTGGCTTCTCGATCAGCTTCACTACAGGCAATATATCTGCAAATAAGCATTTCACATGGAAAGGTAGAGATAATGTATTTTCAACAGTTAATCTCAGGTAGTGAATCCTGCATGAAGACTACCACTGCTACATTTCTCAGTGTTTTAAGTAATTATTTGGACTTGGAGAGCAGCCCAAAAAAAGACAACAATGTTCAACTTTGTTTTGAGACTGTACCTTGAAAAAAAAAAAATCACATTTTATGTAAAAACTGTCATAGGGAAAAGAAATCCCATCCTATCAGATCTATTCTTCATTCTAAAATCATGTTAATTCTAAATTTGTGCAAAAATAAACAACTTCACATTATAGTATAAAAAAGCTATGCGTTGGAGCAAAGAATACCATCGCTGCTTCAATGCCAGGAAAGTACCATCCAAGTCTATGATTTTCAACAACTGTGAAGAGCTCAATAGAGGAGGATTTTCTGCACTTTATGATGCTCAACCAGCAAAGCTGTTCTTTGACACAGCCTTTTATATATCATCCATCATTCACATGTGGTGTCCTTACAACAGAATGAGAGCAGTCAAAGCTCTTGTTTTGAAATTAGCTTCAAATTATAATTATGTGGATTCAGGTGCAGTTTGTTATCTTATAAACTGCTATATTGACCCACAGTTCCTCCCAGGGTTTCTCCATGATACTGGTAAATCTAAACTAGATAATAAGTCATGCATCATTTTCCACAAGATCATTAAGATCTGTCAACACATGCTCCTTTCTTATTCTTCAATTCAATTCAATTCAGTTTATTTATATAGCGCCAAATTCACAACACATGTCATCTCAAGGCACTTTACTGTTCATTCTTCAGTTGCATGTTCTGCTAGAGAGCCAAGGCTGCTATCCCTCAACAATAACAGCTATTTATGGACATGTGTGATTGTCTACAGCTTACAGTATTAACCTTTTGAATCATTAGATCTCCCTTTTTTGAATTAATCTGTTGATCGGCCTCTGTTTGTGTAGTTTGTTGTTTTCTTTCCATTTAGAATAAAAGCGCTCCTTTAAAAAATGTTTATTATCCTGTGGACACACGCCGCGGCTCATATACCCAACCAAAACAGAGGACTATATTCATGGTTCACATTTAGGTTGTGAACATTTTTTAGGTGTGCTACAATGCTGTTCATTGTTTCAGAATAAATTGCTAGTGTAATAATTTAAGCTTTACTTATAAAAGCTAAAACTTTCATATAACATCAAGGTCGTTGCCCCTTGTGTTCAATAAAAATTCAGTCATACATCTTTTTCATTAAGTGGGTTTTTTTGGCTTTGTAGTTTATTTCTTAGCTCAAAAAGTTTGCATTGCCAGAGGCGTAGCCAGAAAATTTTTATAAGGGTGGCCAGGCATTAACCAATGTACACTGAGGGGTGGCCGAAAGTGGATAGGTGCCAGAACCTCAGGATCAATTTACAATGTTCCAACAGGAAAATTAACGAGCACAACATCCATATTACCTAAATAAAGACTAATTATACTTTCCTAACAAATAGACGCATATATTTCAAGATCCGTGCTTTCTAGATTAAAGGTATAGTGGAAACAAGTGTTTCAAGTTTGAGTTCTGGGGCGAACATCTTTTCTATTGTTATTACTTAATTACTTTTATCAATAATCATTATGCATAAATTGATATTTACAAGTATCTACACAAATTGATTATTTAATACGTTTTACTAAAATAGTTGTCTATCATTTCTATGAAGACTCAAGATGACTTACAGAGACATCATTTTCACTTTACCGCATATAACGCAAAATCTAGTTCTGGATTCTGTACTTATCGTCCTAAATTTTATTACATTGATGTGTATAATTAACAACAGTGTTTTTGTTGTCAAGTAATTGTTAAAGTATGACAAATTAAAATGTTTTGAATATTCCACCGGAGAGTATTACTGCTGCCAACATCTGTATTAGAAGGGAAAAAATGGTAGATCTATCTAGCTCCGCCCCTGCGCATTGCTGCAAAATATTTTTACCAGAGGCCAAAGTTTTTGTGAATTATCCCAGAATTTTATAGAGCAATAATGCTTGTGCATGCAAGTTGTGCTTAAAATATTATAACGCAAGTTTTTTGTCCATAAGCAAACCTTGAATGTAGAGCTCCTCTTTGGATGGCTTTGCATGACTGCAGGGCATCATATAAATCTGCAACTAAAGTCATCATATTAACTTTAAACAAAATCACATAACAAACACCTACCATCATATTTCATTTCCATATATCCAAAAGGACTGTTGAAGTGTGAAAGCCGGTTCCACTCTGTTATGTTGAAGTTTTCTTTGTGCAGAAACATGCGTATGTTGGGAAGGAAATTTCTCTGGAAAGTCTTGTCTTTGGAGTGGCGCAAAGACTTGGCACATGTCTGAGTATGGAAAAAGAAATTAGATTTAAAGATAACTAAAAGTGTTGGCTTGGTCGAGACAAGGGGTTCCAAAACTTTTTCACGCCAAATAAAAGAGTAGATTCTGCACACCTACAAAATATATTTTTCTATTTTTCTTTTTTTTTTTTTTTTACTTTTATTAACTATTCAGTAATCACAGTGCGTTCGCAAAATATTCATAGCACTGTACTTTTTCAATGACCTTATTGCGAATGGTATTTCATTCATCTTTTCCCTCTAAATTCTACACATAATCCCCCATTATAATAAAGTGGAAAAAGTTTTTATCGATCCTGTCTCCTAGCTCTACAGACAATTCATGTGACTTCATACGTGGTTTTTGCAGATTGACATGCACTGACAGCTGTGGGGACTATTAGAGACAGGCATGTCTTTAATTATGTCCAATAAACTCAACTACCACATCTGTACTCAATTTAAGATGTAAAAGCATCTCAAGCATGCTCAGTGGAAACAGGGTGAACATCATGCCAGTTTGGAGCTTCATAGTAAAGACTGAATACTTATTTAAAAGTCATAGCTACAACTTTACCATCAAAATAATTAATTAAAATAAATAATAAATCCACAGAATGTCTAGAGAGAAGAATACATGAATCAGTTTGATTGAAAAGATATCAATAATTTCTTTATAATTTCTTGTTCAAAATATATAAATGTTTATTTCTGGTTATGATGCCAACATTAACACAATAGGATTTTGTACCAAAGGGAATAGTAGGTTGAAATCCCATGAGATGGAGCTCAGGTGTTGCTAGTTACTAGTAGCTCTCTAACAGCGCTCACAAAAGGCTTCTTACCTGCCTTAGATTTCTCAAAATCAAGCCCAATAAACAAAATAGAAGCCAGAGAACCCACACATGCATGGGGAGAATATGTAAGCTCATTGGGAATTGAACCCAGGACCTTCTTGCTGCAAGGCAGAGGGGTTACAAATTGCCCCACTGTGCAGCCCTAATTAATTAATGAGTTATTCACTTATTTTCCTCCAGTTTTCTGAGGCTCCCCTGGTGCCTGCAGGCAGACTCCACAAAAAATCAATTTAGACCAGAGGTTCACAATTTTTTTATTTCTTATTTTATTAAAACAGTAACCCAAACTATTGCCATGGGTACAAAAAAGAAATTCTAAAAAGCCTATAAATAGAAATAAAAACATATATTCTAATATCACTAAACATGTATAGTTTTTTTTTTTTTGTTTGGGTTAAGTTCTGTAGAGAAACTTAAGACCCCCATACTTGTTAATTTGTGATCCCAAGAGAAGTCATGACTAAGACTTTGAAAAAAACTGGCCTAAACGGCTGAAAATAAGTTGCCTCAAACTACCAGCATGGAGACAGTCAAGGAGTCAGCAGCTTTGACTGCTGATGGTACAACAAAGAGCAAAGAAAACATGAACACAGCATAAAACACTTTCTAGGTACTTACTGTTGGTCTCGGAGGAGCATCAAAATTATATACATCGTCAAAAGCCCATCGAGGAAGCTTGCTGAAGGAACTCTTGTTCATGATGGGAATTGGGGTCCCAGCAGCTGTTCTTCGAGGTAAAGCATGTCTCAATGAATAAATGTTAGTTTCATCAATTTTTCCAGTCTGTGTGGGTAAACCAGGCTGCCGATTCAACTGTTCCATTCTTGGAATAAATCCATTGAATAATCTGCCTGCACTTTTGGACAGTTCTTTTCCCAAGAGGACTCTCCCACTTTAAGTGAAACAAACAAAGAAATGTTGAGTGTAAGCATTTAACAGAATGAATAATGTTGAATTATTTCAGAAGCATCTAACAATGAATAAATTAAAAAATAAACTTACTTTTCACCCCCTTGGTCATTTTTGTGGGAGATAACAATAAAAAATATTACTTCCACCGCCAGTATAAGACCAAACACCTTCAGATTTTGAGCTGCCATCCTAGATATTTTAGAGCTACTGTTCAAACCAAGGCTGGAGCAAAATTGACATAGAAACCATCTGGGTTTAAAGAAAGAACTGAAACACACCTTTTTGGTTGATTTTAAAACAAAAACGCCCATAAGGCCTCTTTTCAGAGAAAAGAACAGCTGTGGTTAAAAGAAAAAAGCTGCTGTCTTTATAGACCAAAGAGAGAAAAATGTATCTGTTGTCAGCTTTAGATATTCATTCACTCTGAAACAAAATGAAGGCTCATTTAAAGATTAGAATGTTATGAAATTGTAGACTTCGGTAAGTTGTCTGAAACCCATAAAAGTCCCTTACCTATCCTAGGATGTGGTTACATGAATCATCATCCAACAGAAACCTTCCTTACCAAATAGTCTGGAATTTCCCAGACACAAATGGATTTTTATTTTTTTTTTTTAGATAGAAATTTAACCACAAATAATAATGATGACTTTTATGTTCAACTGAGAGAACTTACCACTACTGTTATGACACAAGCCACGGCAATATGTTTTAACATTAGGAACCAATGCCCCTGCTGGTGTCTTTGCAAACTGTAGAAGTTTCACTGACAACACCTTTTACGACTATGTTTCCCAACATTTTTTAACTTTTGTAACCCTTTGGACATTTTGTCTTACCATGAGTATCCCCTTCAGTCAAAAGTATTGATGATTGTCCAAAAGTGGAACGTACAAGAACTGATTATAAAATAAAGACTATTTTACTTAATCTTTTAATCAGGGCATTTAGTTCTTATATTTTTATTTGTTCCATCTCATATATAAAAAAACCAATCATAAATATGTTGCCTGGAAGTTGGTAAGAATTTGAAATAAATACAAAATAAAATCATATCATAAACCTGTATTTATAAAACTGGTGCTCCTTTGAGTAACTCCCTTAAAATCACATTTAAATTTAATGAATTGGGAACAAAATTCAGAAAAAAAATCAGACTGACTTAATTAGTTTAACTTTTTTTTTCATCAAGACACCTGAGCTGCTTTGATGAGCTCCGCTAGCTCACTGTGATAATAAGGAAGATAGGTTTATTACAAATGCTGGATTAATCCTGGTTTAGTTTTTCTTGATAATAAAAACGAAACAAAATAAATTAATAAAGAAAAACTTGCATTAATTTTCCATTTAAGATGTACAGCTGTACCCGGATGGCCGGCATCATCAATGATGTGATTCCCCTCCAACAGTATATATATTCATGCTTTGTCTCGCTGTTTAATGCTAAAAACACAAAGATTAACTATTTTACTGTGGGATTTTCTTTTTATATTTTTCTTCTTCTTTTGGGGCCCCCCTTATTCAAGGACCCTTGAATGAGAACACCCCATCACACCCCCACTATGGACTGTTCTCCCTCCTGCCCCCTGGGAAGTGGCTTACGCAGCATTCTCTGCAGGTCTAGCAGGTTCTGCAATAACATTTCCCCGCTGCCATCAGACTGTTGAACTGTTGAAACTCCGATCAGTACTGCACAATATTTGAAAACATATTTGCACTACCAACGTGACAGATTTTTTCATAACCCCTTTAAATAGAACACAACTCACTGTTCTACTGCATTTTGCACCATTTTTATTTATTTTGCACTGCACTGAACCTTTCCATATTAATACATTTTGCATCACAATTAAACTGGTTTTCCTTTTCTCCTGCACTGTCAACATTCTTGATCACTGCTGCACTTTATATATGGAAATGTTCCTTTCACTGTTCTAAGCTGCTCATTTGCTGCTGAAAAACTGTATGCATCAAAATTTCATTTTGTTTATACTCTGTGTATACAACATAACAATACAGTTTGTCTAAATCTAAGTCAGCTGCAGGTGTAAAGACCAATAGGTCTATCATCAGCAAATAAAATGTTTACTTACTGCAGAGTTACATATGATGTAGCCTAATAAAATGGACAATTGCTTCTAAGTAAAACAAATGCTGTCATTTAGTGAAAAACTAGATTTGAATAAGAGTTCTGCAAGACTCCTACATGAAGTCTGGGGCACTTTGTAAAATTAGTTCGTACCTGAAAGATGATTAGAAATAGAAGAAAATTGTAAATGCATCATATTCTCCTAAATCACTCGTACAAACGATTTAAGAACAAGCTTGTGAGTACAAACAGTTCTTGCATGAGCCCCAATGTCCCTATCAATTAAAGGGGTTAGGAAGAAAATAGGACAGTGGTCTTGTTTAAAGTTGTTCAAGGATCCTATAGTTAGAGCCTGTTCGCTTCGAAAAAATCGTATTAGAGCTTTTGGAATCCAGTGCAAGTAAAGTAATGTATACTAGAGTATCCATCTAGAACATGTTTATATGTTTAATAATAATTTATTTGTTTTATCATATCCTATTCTAAAGTATAAACTCATTTGTGAATTGCATGTCACAGTGTTATGGTCACTGACCTCTTGGAGCTCTCTTCATGAGAGAACTCTCTCTTTGTGTTTCAGGTCTACCTGGCTGTTACAGGTGCAAGGTTGAAGCTCGTCAGCCACCTCATAAAGAGCTTCAACCCTGAGATGTCAGGCCCCTTTTCTCTTATTCACTGGGCCTTGATCTGCAGTGATTTTGTCTGTGAGCTGAGTGTTACTGTATGTTCATGTTGAACAATTGGCTAACCAAAGCATTTTCTGTTCACAGTGGAAGCTGGTAGGGGTTCTCTGCCATTTTTTAAAAACTGTTTTTCTCCTTGTTTCGTGGTTGACCAGGGAGTTCAGGTATTGTACTTTCTTTTCATTTCTGTGTTAGAAAATTGTTTATTTTATAAGTAAGGGGTGTTTTGTTTGTTGCTTTGGCCTTGGAGACCCTGAGGCTTAAAGGAATAGTACACCCAAAACATGATTAGCCTTCATTTTCTACTCACGCCCATGCTGAACAACACTCTGGAGTACTTTTTTGATATCTCAAATGCATCTGGAGATCTGGGAGGCTTCTTGCTGTCTGCTGACATTCAAATAATGGAGGTCTATGGTGTCCGAGGCAGAAAGGTCCATATAAGTCCACAAAAAACGTGTCAATATTCCTCCATACTGCTCGTCCATTGTATTCCAAGTGTCCTGAGTGGGTAGCGTCCATAATTTACTCGAAACAAAGTCATTTAGAATGTTTTTAGAGCATAAACAGTAGTGTATAGGATTTCCTAAAAGCGCGCGCCTGCGAGTACACGAGCCTACGGAAACCGTGGCAGACCAAACCAGATGAAAGTGCGCATCAGGCTAATCATGTTTTGGGTGTAATATTCCTTTAAAGCTGCCCTGTTTTGCTGTATTCTGTGATCCCTGCAAACTGTGAACAAATTATACGAGACCCCTCCGGGCAAGCTGAGAGACATAAGTCCTCCATCGTGTCATGGGTCACCGTCTAGGCCTCCTCCTGATGGGACGTGCCTGGAACACCTCCGAAGGGAGGCGTCCAGAGGGCATCCAGAAAAGATGTCTGAGCCACCTCAGCTGTCTTCTCTCAATATGGAGAAGGGGCTCTACTTCAAGCCTCTGCAAAATGACAGAGCTCATCACCCCATCGCTAGGGGAGAGTCCAGCCACCCTGCAAATAAGGCTCATTCCAGTCGCTTGTGTCCGGGACCTCCTTTAGATCATGATCCAGATTTCATGACCATAGGTGAGGTTAGGAACGTAGGGTGACTGGTAAATTGAGAGTTTTGCCTTTTCACTCACCTCTCTCTTCACCACGAAAGACTGGTGCAGCATCCACAATATAGCATCAGCCAGACCGATCTGTCTGTCGGTCTCCCACTTCACTCTCCCCTCACCCGTGAACAGAACTTTTATACTTGACTAAAAAGCTTAAGTTGATACTCTAACTTCTACAAAGTGTTTTTGAACAGTAGGATTCATTCTTGTACTTGACTAATAAACATAATACTTTTCTAACCTTTTGACAGCTCTGCTGTTTACCCAAGGATCCCTTCACCATTTGGCTGTATGATCTGGTGAACCGTAAAGTGCCTTGAGATGATATGTGTTGTAGGGGTGAAACGGTTCGAAAAATCCACGGTTCGGTTCGGTTTACAGTTTCGTGGTCACGGTTTTCGGTTCGGTAAATGTTGATTGTTAGGAAAATCTCTAAGCTGACATGTTGGTAGTGTTGCTGTTAGCTTTAACAATACAATGCTTACACACTGTTGCACTTTTATCCACAACTTTCTTTCCGCCGTCATCGTAGGTCACTAAATGCAAAGTGGTCCCATACAGCAGACCTATAAAGTGCTGCTGGCGCGTCTTCCAACTCCTGTTCTTTCCCACTCGCCATACCCACACAATTCTCCACAACAACTGATTTTTTTCTGCTACACCCGGCTACGCTGCTTCGCTTCTTCTTCTTGCTTACTACTGGTGGTTGGCTTTGGTCGCAGCACTGCCACCTTCTGCTCTGGAGTGTACATGCTTCGCCTATGAGAAAAAGGAGCAGCGCATGAACCAAATGCAACACACGCGAACCAAACCGAGACAGTCGAACCGAACGGTTCGGACGGTTTTCATAAACCGTTCCATCGCTAATGTGTTGTGATATGGCGCTACATTAATAATCTGAATTGAATATATATATATGTGTGTGTGTTTGTGTTTTTTAAAGGGTTGAACTTTGTAAGTAGTAATTAAGAGTGATTAGCCTTCAGACTTCACACCACATTGTTGCTGGAAAATTCTGATGCATGTACAGTAAAAGCTGTGCTGATACCAAGACATGTTTTCTCAGAGATCATATATACACTGCCTTTTAAATAGGATGGGTGGTTTTACATTTTTCAGACAGGTGTGGAACAATGTAAAAGGGCAAAGAACAAAATGAGAACCGACTGGTGCAGCTCTCACAGAAATTAGACTGAACACATATTCACACAACATTCTGGTTTATTACAACAGGTCCAATGTTATCCCGAGTAACCAACAGAAACAATGATCCATTGTAATTTTTTCAAGGTTATATGACAGGTGGAGGAGTGTAAGTGTATGTGATACAAATTATAAACACAACAAAAAAATACCAGTTAGTGGGATGGACAGCTGTGTTGAAATACTGCAAGGGAATTAAATTATTTGGAGTCCTGAATA